GGGGCAATAGAGAGACTCCAGGATGATTTGCTATGGGCAGGGATTATACCCGACGAAGATCCTACCAGAGGTGGCCCCGTTGGCCCTTACGTGCAGTCGTCAAGGCTCGAATTGTACAAGTATTAAACTGACGTTGCGCGGCACAAGTCGTGAGTCGAGTTGACGAGATCGAGGATCGCGAGCAAGGATGCAGCGTAGCGTACTCGGGGCGACGAGTCTCCAGCTGTTACAGAGACGCTTCTTCAAAAAGTACCACGTGAGGGTTAGATTCGCGCCTAGCCCCACCGGTAACGATCCTCTTAATTTAATCGTAACCGAGGCAATCTCGCATCATCCTTACTCGCCCGTTGCTTGTTTCAGGTGACTTGCATTTAGGAGGATTGCGTACCGTGCTGTACAACTATTTGTTCGCACGTAGCAACAACGGCACGTTTATTTTGAGGATCTAGGACACCGATCGGACAAGAACGGTTCCCGGGGCAATAGAGAGACTCCAGGATGATTTGCTATGGGCAGGGATTATACCCGACGAAGATCCTACCAGAGGTGGCCCCGTTGGCCCTTACGTGCAGTTGTCAAGGCTCGAATTGTATAAGTAAACTTGCCATCTTGTAATCATTCCAATCTTATGTACATAGGACGATAAGAGAGTGTGTATCGTCGCAAGGCAGCTCCTGCTATAATAATTTCAATGCCAAGTTGCCTTACTCGTTATTTCTAGAGAGCAGGCGCTTAAACTCTTGGACAATCAATCCGCTTATTACTGCTTTTGTACGGAGAAAAGACTGGAATTGTTGAGGAGAGAGGCTATAAAGTGTGGACAAGTACCTAAATATGACAATAGGTGTCGACATTTTACCAAGGATCAAGTAAAGTAAATGCTCTGGAAAAATATCACTTATTGTATTAGATTTAAGGTATTTAAGGTCTCTTCTACACTTATAAATGTTGCATATCTCGCAATATAATTGTTGCATATCTCGCAATCAGTTGGTGTCCACACCGGCGGCCTTTCACGACATAGTTTACGGCGACGTGTTGCATGATCTTACCAAGTCCGAGGGAGATCCAGTTATCAAAATCAGATGGCTATCCCACTTACCATTTTGCAAATGTAGTCGATGACCATTTTATGGAAATATCTCGTCTTACGGGGCGTTGAATGGCAAGTTTCTACACCTAAGCATATTATGCTTTACAAGTAAGCTATTTTACTTGAGAGAGAGAGAGAGAGAGAGAGAGAGAGAGGACAATTAAATTCTTACAAAATTTGACTAGAAATCTTGTCTATCGTGCAGAGCGCTTGGCTGGAATCCTCCCATATATGGACACTTACCTTTTAATATTAAACGCGGATGGATCCAAGTTGTCCAAGAGACAGGGTGACATCAAAATCGAGTCATTTAGGAAACAGGGAATTTTTCCACTAGCGTTATTGAATTACGTGATAGGGGCTGGTGGTGGTTTCCACAAAGAACGAGAAAACCAACATCTTTACAGTTATCAAGCATTAATTAAACAAATCTTCATAAACAGGTAATTACGACCTGGTACTTTTGTACGTCGAGTTTTCTTCACGCGGTCCGAGAATATATCTTTAACAGAGATATGCTCACAGATTTCAAATATTTCTACGTGATAGTAACTTTGCAATTGAAATCAATTGAAAAGAAAAAGCTGACGTGACATCGCATAAAATTTAAATTTAATTTTCTCTACTTTCATTAATATTACTTTTTTTCTGCAATTATGTTAAATAAGTACTTTTATAACATACGGACTTTTCTCTTGTGTATTTTTTTTCTACTGGCAGATTTTGATTTACACAATTCTCAATCGCGTAAAAGAAAACCTCCACATGAAACGGATACTCGATGTAATTCGAGGCACAACTGTCATCTATAAAACTTTTACATATGTATATGCATATTACGTATATTTACATATATTCTATTTTCCATTCCAGTTTGATATTAATAAAATAAAATCGAGTTCTGGCAAACTTATGCCTGAGAAAGTATTGGACTTGAATAAATTGGAAATGGCAAATTTACTACAAAATGAAAACAACTATAAATTTTTTATCGAGAGAATTAAAAA